CCCCAAAACCCCAAAACCCCAAAACCCCAAAACCCCATTTAGGCAAATAAATATGAATAATTTTGTTAAAATTAAAAATGAAAATATCCTTTTTAATCTGATGCTTAATAATACTAGCAGCATCTAAGCTTACTGTGTATAATCCTCAGAAATTGAAGAAGAAGGTGGATAAAGAGAATGGAGGATCCATAAAATTCTCTATTGCTAACTTTGGACATACTCCTTACGGACACTCTATCATTGGGAATGTTTGGTATAGTGAAGAAGATAAATCTGGATGCGAGGAGCTCAAAATGAATATTACTGCTGAAGGAGATCCAGATGCCTACCCCTCCCCTATTGTACTTGTTGAAAGAGGAAATTGTACGTTTGTAAAATAAGGTAAGAAACGTAGAGCATGCTGGTGGATCTCTAGCAATCATTATTGACGACAAACCTGGAGAGATGATGGATCATATTATTATGGTGGATGATGGAACTGGAGCAGGAATTAATATTCCTTCTATGCTCATTAGCACAAAGGATGGAGAGTTACTGAGTAAGTCTTTCTAGATAATTCCATAGAAAATCAGCTTAGTCTATGCAAAGAAGAAGGAACCAAATCGTGTGTATCACTCATAGCCACCTTTGATCTTCCTCACCCAGATGACAGAGTTGAATATGATTTTTGGTACTCAAGCTCTAGTGATCAGGCAATTGATTTCCTGGTAGACTTTGATAGGTTCAACCAAAAATTTAAGAAAGATGTTCTATTCACTCCAAGGATTGTTACATGGCCTTGATTAAATTGTGATGATGAATTTAAAACCAATAATTGCTTTGGAAATGGAAAATACTGTGCATTTAATCTAGAAAACCCTCTCAACAATGGAAAAGAAGTGCTATATGAAAATCTGAGAGAGAAATGTCTTTACAGTAAACTCAAAAATCAAGGTAAGATCTAAAATTTAGGTTCTTCTTCTCTAGTTCATTTATTCACCAGCTAAATTTATGATAGGTAAAGAGCAAGATTGGTGGAATTATATGCACTATGTGCATGCTAATTGTAGACACGACATTAACCAAGACTGCTCAAAGAACGGAATTGAGTCTATCGGAGTTGATTTTTCCTCAATTGATACTTGTGTAGAAGAATCGTTCATAGGTGACGATCATGGCAAATCTGTCAACCAAATTTTGGATATCGAGAATAAAGACTGGAATACTAATGGACCTCATATCTTCCCTGCTATTGTGATTAACAAAGTGGCTTACAGAGGATTCTTGACTCCAGAAAATATCTTCCAAGCGATCTGTGAAGGGTTTAAGAATGCTCCAAAGGAATGCAAATCAGTGCGCCATAATGAGGAAGTACCTACAAATGGGATCAGCATAAGAACGTATATTTTTATTTCTGATAATATAGAACGATTATTGTTATCGCTGCCATTTTAGTTTGTAATCTAATTCTCTTGATGCTCTACAGAAGGTAAGTTCAAGGGAAATAAAGTTTAGATACCATAAGAAGGAGATGCAGTCTGAAGTCAAGATGGCAGCTCACTCAGCAGTTTCACAATACTTTGCTATCAGGAACAGTGAAAGAGAACTGGAATCACAAGACTTATCTACTTAAGATACTCAACTATATAAAGATGAAACATTTTCATAAATATTATGAATAGCTTTATGGCTCTAATCATGGTCTAGCCAAATAATAAGCTTACAAAACTTACATTTTTGGCTTAACTTATTCAGATTCTGACAAGGACAAGCTTCAAGAGAGTTCAAAATCAATTTTTTATTGTTTGCACAAATCTAGCTAAGATTAATTAGAAATTCGGTGAACACAACCAAATTTATTCTCTCAACTCTCTTCAAGTTTTATTTAATTCTTATAAATTATAGTCAGGATCAACCACAGCTTTCATAAACTTAGTGAGCATTTTCTATTCTAATTCTTTGTTAAAACGACTGGGAAGAGAAAATAAAGGATAAAGTACTAAATGCTTCCAAGTGTTTCCTTAACATGGATTTCTAAAGTATTTTTAGGCATTTTTGTATGTATTAATAGTAAATTTTCAATTAATTCAAATAGAGTAGCAATTTCAATACTTACTTTTTTGTCAGGGGTTTTGGGGTTTTGGGGTTTTGGGGTTTTGGGGTTTTGGGGTTTTGGGG